ATCAACACAGTAGCCGTGGTCCTGAATGCCTGAATGAGCACAATGTGCTTCCCTGAATCTCTAAGAGACATTAAATTGCATCCGACAGGGTTTTGATGTTCTCTGGGTTTTGCTGCATCTTATTTATTTGAAAACTCATTGTATGATACCTACAGTGAGTCTCTCCTAAGCAGCATGAGCAGGGCTGAGGAGTCAGACAGGCCCAAGGCCAAATCCTGGTTTCATCCCTCCCATGAGGATCACACTTACAGCAGAGGATGGCATGCTGCTCTCGGGAGTCAGAACGCCTGACTCCAATTCCAGATCTACCATTAGCAAAGTTCATGTGTCTGGCAAATTGGTGAACCTTTCTGAGCTTCAGCTTCCTGATTCTGGTTGAGTGAATAATGGTATCTGCTCCCAGGGTTCTTGAGAATGAAATGAGATGATGTAAGGAAAGCATTTGGTTAGCCAATGGGGACTGGCATCCAATATGCTGTTATACAGTAGTATTTGTTATTAGGATTTACTTACCCCTCTACTGCCTCCTCCAATTCAGCACAACACTGGTCTTGGGGACTTCAGGACCTGGAGGAGGGGGATGGAGGTGTTATGGGAAAAGACAATCAAGCAGGCCTTTACCCTGACTCCTGTTGCTTGGAAGCATTTGCTGCAGGTATGAAAAAGCTTAAAGAGGTAGAAAGTGCCAGGCCTGAGAGGTGTTGATAGACTATGACAGAAGCCCTGTTAAATGAGCCCCTTAGGGAATAGCCTTGTGGAGACCCTTTGCAATAGGAAATTCACCATGCCTAGTCCTAGCACCTACTAATGGGAGATTATCAGGGACCGGGAAGAGGAAGATTTATTCTGGGTTGAAAATTATATCCCTCACTGTTGTGGTATTTCTTTACCTCCCTTGAAATGTGAAAGCCAGATTCAACAAACTCTGTGGCCTCAGGAGCTCAGACATCCAATTTACATATAAATGGACACCAAGAGTTTCAGAAGGAAAAAACTGTTGGGAAAATTGTCACTTGAGGATAAAGCCTTGGGGACAATACAGAGGAAACATATCCCTGAGGGAGAACTGAAAGGATTCAGAGGCTGACTCCTAGGTGTCTGCTCAAGGGGTCCCTTACATCCAAGTGACTAGAAGCTAAGGGGCCTCCAACACTGTTCCCTTCATACTGATAATTGCGACAGGTAACTTGGATGTGGAGCCTGTGTACTGAGTGCTTTACACTCACCACCCCACGTACTCCTTAAACAATCTGGCAAGGTTGGCATTACCACCATCTCCATTGTACAGGTGAGGAATCCGAGTCCCAGAGTAATGTGCCCACCTAGGAGGTGACAAAGGCAGCTGGTTGCTCTGAAGCACGGCAATGCTGCCTCCTGGGGCTGGCCCCACTTAGCTGTGAACTTCAGGGGAGCCCCAGGCTGGGGCCGGAGGAAGCCCCTCCAAGCACTGCCAGCCTGGCTGCTGTTATTCCCACGAGTTGCCTTCCTTTTCAACCACAGTTTACACAAATCCCTCCCATGAAGCTTTGAATTTACCAAACTAGTAAATTAGAGAAGAGAGATGGCTTTCATCTCATGGATATATAATCTGCAAACAAACAAACAAAAAACCATCCAAAACCCTTACAGCCAACAAATATATGTTTTCTACTTAGACAAAAATAAAGGGAGTAGTGAGACAGTCCCCAATTCCATCAATTGGGTAAATAAAGAGAATCATTAATTGACTGTTAAGAAGTTGCTTAAAGGAAAATTGAACACAGAGGTGTCTGAGTAACTGGGTATGCAGTTATTTTGTCTTTGTTTTTTTCAAGAACATTAACATCTTGCCTATCAATTATTTTTAAATTTAGGTTTGATTGAGACTGAGTTGTGATACATCTAATAGTTCCTTTGGGCCTCTGTCCTCCCACCCCAAGTCTCAAAACATAAGATCATAAAAAAGTGCTTAATAAATTCTTGCTGATCTAACAGTCAATTCTGCTTGAAAACGTGTCTCCCAGCTGTGGTCCAGCATTCATCAGGGACCCAAGAAACCTGCAAGCACAGAATATTTGAACTGAAAGAGACCTTAGAAATTGCTTTGCCCCACTCCTTGATTTACTCCAAAGGGTCTGCACAAAAGGAATGAGAGAAATCTGCCTGGACCACGTGGTTGGTTAAGACTAAGACAGGCCAGGAACATAGGCCCTCTCCCTCCCAGGCCAGCGTGCTTCTCCCTCAGCTCTTTGCTGATGGAGAGAAATCAGGAAGCCCATTAAAAACATACTGCATTAGCAAACCCAGGAAATCTCATCAGTTCTGGAAAACAGGGGCCATTGAGCACAACCCCGGAGGATTAAGTACTCACTACTTTGTTAGCACCATCATAACATCTAAGTTTTAAACTACATACTTTTTCTCTATTAGAACCCTGCAAAGACAGGTCAAGCCTTGCTTAAGTTACCTCAGGGTTAGTACAGTCTCTCGTCCCAGGGGAAGAAAAAGAAAGAAAACTGACATGGGCTTAGGGTCTACTGTATGCCCGGTGTTTTTGCCTCCTTTAGTCTTCACAGCAAATCTATGAGGTAGGTCCTTTTTTTCCCTTCCCTTCCCCATTTTTTAGGTGACTAAACAAAAGCTCAGAGAAGTTAGGTAATTTGCCCCCAATCACACAGCAAGTAAGTGGCTGAGCTGGGATCTGATGTCTCCTTTGAGGCCCTTCCTGCTAGCTCAAGGAGCCTAAAGAAACATGGAATCTAAAGCCTTCTTCTTCTGAAGAAGGTGAGTTTAGTAGGAAGAGCTTTGGATTTGCTAGTCAGGGGACCTAGACTGTGACTTTCCACAGGCAGACCCCAGGCAGTCTAGTTTAGCACATTGCCTGGTATTAGCAGTTGTTCAATTAACATTTGTTGGATAAAATAATTACTGTATATATCTGACAAAGGACTTAAATGCAGGACACACACACACCCTAAACCCCTAAAACTTAATAATAAGGAGATAATTCTCTTTTTTTTAAAGTAGACAAAAGATTTTAACAGATAGTTCACCAAAAGTCAGTGCAAATGGCCCATAAGCACATGGAAAAAGTTCTCAGCATCAACTAACCACCAGAGAAATGCAAATTAAAATGATAATGAACTATCATTACACACTCACCAATTTAAAAATGTAAAAGGCTGATGACAGAAAGTACTGATGAGTATGTGGAACAACTGGAATTCTACCCTGCTCATGAGAATACAAAATGGTATAGCCACTTTGGAAAAAAGTCTGCAAGTTGCTTATAAAACTAAATATATATCAACCTTATGACCCAACAATTCCATTCCTGGGTATTTACCCAAGAGAAATGAAAACACACATCCTCAGAAAGACTTGTACAAAAATGTTCATAGCAGTGTTATTCTTAATCACCCCAAACTGGAAACAACCCAAATGTCAACATTAGAATGGAAGACCAAATTGTAAGACATACATACAAGGGATGCTATTTTACAATAAAAAGGGAGGAACTCTTGATACATGCAATGTGAATTAAACTCTAAAACATTGAGTTAAAAAAGCATTGCCCAAAAAGGGATATAATGAATCACTCCATTTATATGAAGTTCTAGGATAAGTAAATTTAATTTACGGTGCAAAACATCAGAACAGTGGTTGCCTGAAAGTTGAAGGCTGGAATTAACTGAGAAGGGACACAAAGGAACTCTCTGGAGTGATGGAATGTTTGGTGTCTTGATAAGGATCTGGGCTGCACAGCAGTGTGCTTTTGCCAGTGATACGATATGCAGGCCAAAGTGTTTGGGGCTGAACTGCATTGATGTCATAACCTACTTTGAAGAGCATGAAAAATAAGATGGATTAATAGATGAATAGGGATGGATTGATGGAAAGATATGTGATAAACCAAAGGGAGCAAAATGCAAATTGTAGAATCCAAGTGGTGGGTATATGAGTGTTCACTGTGCAACTTTTCTGTATTTTAAATGTTTTGTAGACAATTTTGGGCAGAAAAACATGAATAAAACTTGGATTCCCACAGCTGGCTTAGCACACATGCCCTCCAAGGACCCATGTGGACCCTCCTGCTCACCTCTGCAGCTTCATTTCTCATCAGCCCACACCTTGTGCTCCATACTCTGGCCACAAGGACGTTCTTTCACTTCCTCAAACCCACCATGTATGTACCACCTCAGGTCACAGGATCTTTGCATATCCTATCTCCTCTAGGCTGTCCCTTCCTTTTTCTCCCAGATAATGCCTCAGACTTCAGTTCAAATAGTCTTTCTCTGGGTACCTTCTCTCTCCATTCCCCACCACCACAAGCTTAGGTCCATTGCTTTAGTTCTTGAAGAAACATGTTCCTTTCTGTCATAGTACTTGCTATTCAACCCCTAGTGTGACTGTTCTGTTCAGAGTCACAGCCTCCATGAGACTGACAGCCTCATGGTGGCAGAACTGTGACCATTTGGGCTCACCAAGGCACATCCACACCCAGCACAGTGCTTGGTCATAACTGTGCCCATGTAGTGTCTGCAGAATGAATGAATTTCCTAACTAGCCTGTAGCCCTAGGGACACAATCCTCCCTGCTCCATTTTCTCAGCTATCAAATGAGAAAATTAGTGGGAAGCAGCCTTCCTCTTTATTTTTTATTTATTTACTTTTTTTTTTTTTTTTGGCACAAGACCAATTCAGAACAAATATTCAGAAACAGCATGTTGAATTCAAAATGAAAACAACTTTAATGCATCTTACAGAAAATATAATGTATGTTCCTTCCACTAAGATTATCCACTTTGTCGAATAAAAGAATTTCAATGAGAAAATTGATGCTGTCTTTTAGTCATTAAAATGTTCTCATTTGGTCATTTCAAAAAGCAGCAACAAGAATAAGAGGCAGCTTTCTAATCTTTCACCCCTTAAGATTCAGAAGATGTTAGAATCACAAAGCTCATTCACACCTCTTATCTCTTTTCATCTTCTAAGTAGGTGATGTTTTTGTAGAGGGTGAAAGTGTGGCTCAGAGAGGTAAAGTGACTTGCCCAAAATCACATAGCAAGTTGATGAGAGAATACACTTTAATTAATTAACTCAATCTAATGGAATAATTTCTGGGCATGTATCCACCTGTCCTGTGTGTGGCACTATGCCGGGTGCTGGGACTACAGAGACAATAAGACGCAGCTCCTACTCGTTCCCAGTTTGGAGTCCTCTGCCTTGGCTGTCGGATCTTCTCTCTGGAGAGAGCAAGGAGAACCAATCAACCCAGGTTTCTTGGTCTGGGTTCTCCAGAAGTAGAGTCAGAGACAATGACGTTAGGACAAATAGTTGATTTGGGAAGTCACCCCAAAAAGTACCTATAGGGAAGAAAGAAAATAAGAAAGGAGAAAAAGCCAGTACAGGGAGCAGGTTACTGTTGTGGGTAACTGGAGCTCAGTCCCACTGGGAATCTCAGAGACTGCATAGAACACATTCCAGAGTTGGCTATTTATGCACCAACTTCCATTTAGTATTGTTTGGGAGCTACCCCTTAGGGTAATTCCCTGGCACTTCTGTCCTGTGGGAGGGCACATGCACGCTCCAGTAACCAGAGAAAGCCCTCAGGCAGCGTGCACAGGAGCTTTCACAAAGGAGCCATCATTTCGTTTGGAAATAGAATTTAACAGGGCACACTAAGAGGACAGAGGAGGGCACCAAATGCAACTGCTGGGGCAGGACAGTGTGAACCCCCCAGAATCCTGGAGGGGCCCCTGTGGGTGCCACAACTGCACGGTGCTCAGCCCCTGCTACCACAGCATAAGCTTTAGGCACCAGCCCTGGTGGACTGAGGGTCTCAGCCTGGCTTCTGAGGGACCCCATCACCAACCTCATTTTTAGGCGGTATCAAAGTCTTCTTCCTGCCTCGGAGCTGGTTGCCCTGCAGGCTTTTCCCTCGAACCCTGCTATTCCTTGGGAACAGAAAGGCTGCTGAGGTGTTTGGGGGAAATAAAGCTGCCATGGATCTTCGGCAGCGCTGAGGTGATCCCTGTAACACAAACCATGAATGATGCCCAGTGTCCATTCTCTCGTTTTTAGTATTGCTCAAGCTTTAGCAGAGCTCATAGCTTCCCTGATGCAGACTACATTTCCAAGATGCCCTGACAAGATGCCCTTGGCCTTGTGACTAAGTTCTGGCCAATGGGATGTGAGTGAAAGTGTGGGCAGAAGCAATCTCCAGGCCATGTCCTTAAAAAAAAAAGAAAAAGGAGAATACTTTTTATTCTTTCCTGACCTCCCACCAGCCGGAGATTGGCCACCACTGGAGCAGCCCTCATGCAGCCTGTAACGGAAGACCTGTGCTGACAGTGGCAGAGTAGCACCCCCAGTCTGGGGTAGATAACCCAGACTACCCACGTGCCTCCAGCTTATCACAAAAGAGAGTGGTAAACTCCCCTGTATGTCAGCCACTGTCTTCTGAGCCTCTATTACAGCAGCTTCACCTGTTCCCTAACTCAGCTATCCTAAAGGACACTTCCCACTCTAAAGGCAGCTATACCCCAGGTGGGACCACTTCACCCAGACCCGCCCCCGCCCCTGCTTCCCAGGGCAGGCGCAGCAGGTGGGACCAGGTGGGACCACTTCACCCAGACCCGCCCCCGCCCCTGCCTCCCAGGGCAGGCCCAGCAGTTCCTAAGGATATTGCTCCAATTCCCAAAGTGTGCTCTTGATTTACCCCCACCCCAGCCCCCCAGCTCCCCAGGGGGTGGCACACCTTTGCCCGGGGAAGATCCTGATTCTGGGCTCCTAGAAACCTACCATCTGATCATCTTCCGGGCCTTTCAGTGAGCAGAAACCACAGAGAAGGCTAGGCTAGTGTGCTGTAGTGAAGCCAGGAAGGCAGAGGAGGTTGGAGGGCAGGGAGGGTGAAGAGCTCATCCATGGCGCCCCCACATGAAAAAGGGATGAGTTTGCAGCAAGAGGGATAGAGGAAAGCTGATCAGACCTAAACGGAGCTCTGTTAAGAGTGGGGATCAGGTGACGGGGCGTGGTGGCTCATGCCTGCAATCCCAGCACTTTGGGAGGCTGAGGAGGGCGGATCACAAGGTCAGGAGATTGAGACCATCCTGGCTAACACGGTGAAACTCCATCTCTACTAAAACTACAAACACAAAATTAGCCGGGCATTGTGGCGGCGCCTGTAGTCCCAGCTACTCCGGAGGCTGAGGTGGGAAAATGGTGTGAACCTGGGAGGCGGAGGTTGCAGTGAGCAGAGATCACACCACAGCACTCCAGCCTGGGCGACAGAGCAAGACTCAAACAAACAAACAAACAAAAAGTGGGGATCAGGTAAGAGCAGCTGGATTTCCCTGGCTTTAGAGTGCTCCTCTCTGAGCACTATGCCGGGTGCTGGGATCTGGTCTGCCCACACAACCTTGTGTCTCAAGTTGGGGGACAGAAGCAGAGGGTCTCCAAGTGACTTTTGCTCTAAAGTTCTGGAATATGCCAGTGAAGAATTGCTGAAGATACCACAGGTCAATGAGCTGCTGAAGAGGGGGAGTCATGCCTGCCCCCCTTCTATCCCTACGTTTGGCACAGTACTGGAATCAGAGGGCCTCCAAAAATATTTACTGAATAAATCCATAAATGAATGAGTGAAAAACATCCTTTAGAGAGGTTCCGATATTCCACATTCAACACTTGTTTTCTTCCTGTTCCATCTTTTTGAAAGACTCCACAGCAAAATTGGAGACACTGGGCTGTGCCTGTCTTTCTCCCCAGACCTGTGGGCTCCTCTCTGTTAGAGCACTTATTACAGCTTACAGTGAACACTGTTACCTACCTACCTGTCTCCCAAATAAGGCTGGTGGTCTTGAGCAAAAAAGACTGTGTCTTATTTTTTCAGGTGAATCCCTCAGTATTATGACTACTTGGCACAGAATTAAAACTGTATTCAATAAATATTTGTTAAATGAATGAATAAATAAGTAAATCAGTCAATTCCGTTGCCCACTGAAAAATGACACTATTAAACACGTCTCCCAATCAGAAAGTCATTGAGCTTGAGAACAGCATCTCTAAAGCAGAACAGAATCTCCCTTCTTACAGGATGTCCCAAGAGAGCCTGGGTTTCCTTTTTCTCAGACTGGGGCTCCCTAAGGATGGAGTTGTGTCTCCCTCAGACTGGGGCTCCCTGAGGACGGGGCTGCATCTCCCCTCAGACTGGGGCTCCCTGAGGACGGGGCTGCGTCTCCCCTCAGACTGGGGCTCCCTGAGGACAGGGCTGCATCTCCCCTCAGACTGGGGCTCCCTGAGGACGGGGCTGTGTCTCCCCTCAGACTGGGGCTCCCTGAGGACGGGGCTGTGTCTCCCCTCAGACTGGGGACAGGGCTGCATCTCCCCTCAGACTGGGGCTCCCTGAGGACGGGGCTGTGTCTCCCCTCAGACTGGGGCTCCCTGAGGACGGGGCTGCGTCTCCCCTCAGGCTAGGGCTCCCTGGGGATAGGATTGCATCTCCTCTCAGGCTGGGGCTCCCTGGGGACGGGGCTACATCTCCTCTCTGACTGGAGTTCCCTGAAGACAGGGGCTCTGCCTCCTCCCACACTCGACTGGGCGCCCTCTTGCGCAGCCCTCACATCTCTAAGGTCCCTCCTCCTCATCATAAGCTTCTTCTGTTGATGAGCTCAGAAATGCCCTGCCCATGTCATGCTTATGAGCATTTTTAATGTTTCAATTTCTCAAATGTGTTGAGGAATCATAAACTCACGCAGGAAAAAATGAGAAAGAAAAAAATAAAACAAGGAAATAAAGGCCAAGTTGTGGCTAAGTTCATTCCAGCAGGCAGCCCTCAGCCTCGAGGGGAAACTCTAATGCATGCACAAAAACCTCATGAATAATTATTTCTGAGTGGCTCAATATTTTAAATGCTGGATATCTTTTTCCTCCTCAGAAGCACGCCGCAACTATTTATCGCAATGCAGAAGCCAGACAGAAGGTGATTAAGTTTGATATCTGAGGGATGAGAAGACAGAAAGTAGGGTGGAAATCGTGAGCAGAGGTGGGTGGGTTTCACGGGGCAGCAGGCAGATGGGGCCCCTAGGCCAGCATCTTATGGCAGAAAACAAAGGTCACCATCCAGCAAAGAGGGTTGTGTGGGTTGCATTATCTTCTTCGCTAAGGAGCTTTGAGTTTGGTGCTTCTGCCTTCCCCAGCTGTGATATCCATGGGCAAGCAGCTGCGGTGCAGGAAGGCTACAAAGTCAGCTATTTACCCCACAGTTAATGTCAGCGCTCTGAGGAGATTAAAACTAAAAACAGAAGATCTTTAGGTATATGGAATGAGACAGTTGTCCTCTCACCAAATCAGGGGTGAAAGTACCCCAACTTCTCCTTCAGAGGGTGGTTCATTTGAGTTATCTTCCCAGTAGTCCATGGGCTGGTGGTTCATGCATTGGCCAATTCATTTGAAGATCCTAACTACCCACCTGGTACTTTCTATCGGTTTATCTTACCATGCGAACACCCTGAGAAATTGGAAGGACAGGTGCTATGATTCCCATTTTATGTTTATGGAGATGGAGGCTCAAGGCAGCAAGTGACTTGTCCACAGTCTTCTGTTCTCAGAAAGGTGAGGCAAATACAAAAGCCACTGGTGTCTGGACTCCTGCTACACTGTCACTAGCTTGGCTACCGCAGGCGCCTCCATAGTGAGAAACTTTAGTGGGGAGACAAGGGGTGTGTGTGAAATTGGATAGCACAAGAGGACCGAGGCACCATCACCTCAGTCGCCCACCTACTTCTACTCTGCTCCTCTGCTCCCAGTGCCATCTTTTATGCGCACTTCTCCTGGGTCCTTGGTTCTATTAGCCTCACTCTGGCCCACATGCCAGCCTGAGCATGGTTGCTGCAGGGATGAACATCTGGCCTCCTCAACGAGCTGCTTGAGGCCAGATGTCATGTCTTATGCTTCTCATATATTCTTCACAGGACCTAGAGCAATGCTGGGCACAGGGCAGGAGTGAAATGAAATGGCAGCTATCATCATCATGTCAATGGCTAAGAGTTACAGAGCACTCATTTTGGGCCAGGCACTGCTATAAGAGGTTTATGTACATTAACTCATTTAATCCTCACAGCAACCCCGTTAGATGAGTATCATTATCCCCATTCTCATTGTATATGCAAGGGTGCGGACGCCTGGAGGGGTTTAGTAACTTTTCCATATAGCAAGTAAGTGACAAAAGCCAGATTTAAGCCCAGGCCACTTGGCTTTGGAGCCCTCACTCCTAAACACAACATTATACTGCCTGTCAGTGTGAGACCCTTACCTGTGTATTTATCTCTGCAGTGGCTCATTCAGTCATTCATTTATTCATCCTTAAATTTGCTACCATTTACCAAGAACCTGCCATGCCCAGGGCATTGTGCTAGTACTCTACCTGCACCTCACTCTCACATTCAAATTGCAAAGTTAACTTTGTTAAGATCTCCATTTTATGGTTGAGAGGGGTGAAGTTGCTTTCCCAGGCTCACATGGCAGGTAAGCAAGAAGGCTGGGATTTCCACCCAGGTCTGGTCTGGGAGTGTCCAAAGCCTGAGCTGTTACATTACTGTGAGTTACATTGCATCCACCTTCCTTCACCAAACTCAGTTCAACTCAGAACCCAGCATGGAGGGAGGTGCTAGCAGGAGGAGCCCAAGGCCTCTGGAGCCACTAGAAGTGGAAATGGTGATAATGAAGATAATTCTGGGCACGCCACCATGGCCTCTGCTATTCCCTACCATATGGCCACTCTAAGCTGACCCCCAGCAATGGCCGTTTTCCAGCACATATGGGAATCAAACAAGATAATGTATGTGTGGCAAGGTCACAGATGTACTCACAGCACACTCAGATGTGCAGAGAAGGCACTTTTCTTTATTTTCTGTTAGCTGATTGGAGTGTGTGCCCCTAGTCTGTGGGAATGGGGGAGGGGCAACTAAATTTTAGCCCAATACGGTCATCTAAGTTCAATTCAGTGATTTAAACAGTCTTTTAAAGAAACCACTCAGTTTCTTGTGGATAAAATGCCAATCTTTCTTTCCCTCCTGCCCTCCAGGGTGGAATCTTTGTGGATGGCGAGAGGCTCCTATGGCACTGGAGGGAAGGGTACATGTGGTCTCAAGCAGTCCTTGGGTATATGTGGGTTGGTGCCCAGCAAGATGAGGGTGGGTGGTCTATCCCTGAGTGTTCAGCAGCCCTCCACTGCTGATGGGCAAGACTGATAACCTTCTGGCATGTTTTTTTCCATCTCCATCAGGGCAGGACTGCCCCTGATACTCCCATATGGAACAGGTCCCGTTCTGCCTCTTGATGATGCTGAAGACCCTCTGAGGTCCTGTCCTGCAGCCTTCTGTGAACTCTTTGGGAAACTCTCAAACTAGAATTACCTCATTTCAGGCAAGCAGAAACTTCTGGGCTCCATCATAGGCACGCAGAAATCAAGAGGTACTTGGAGACCAAAACTCAAGCCTTCTCCCCACTAACCATACCACACTGCCCAGTCAGCTTCAGTGCAGCCACCTCACACTACGGCAGGAGCGGCCTGGGAGGCCAATGACCTGCCTGAATCCTAAAAGAGATTGGGGCAGAATCCTTTCTACTCTGGTGTTTTCTCCATTAATACAGGGGAGTTTAGCCTGGAGAAAGGCCAGTTTTCAGGTCTTATTGCCTCCCTCCTCATCTCCAGCTCCCTTCTTTCCCCTACAAGCCTCAAAACTGGAATGAGTGGGTGATGGGTGTTCCCTATGGAAAGCCCCATGAGCAAGTCCTCTAGGTCTGATAGCACGTATGCAACACTTACTCTGTTCCTATCTCAAAACTACCTTATAAGGGAGGTCTGAGATATATCCTCTGGCTGCAG